TATACCAATACAGCGTGCCAAAGCTTTCAAAAGCTCTCAGTACAAGTGAAAGCTTTCGCTGGCCTAGTCTGTTTTACAACCACTTTTTACTCACTTAAATACTTATGTATTTAATGTATAAATAGCTTATTGAAACTGAAAATAATTTAAATGAGAATTAAATAAAAAATTAAATTAAAGTTAATTTCCACTTAAATGAGTTTGATGAAACTGGCTGTCAGAGGTGTTACACGTTTAATCACCTGATCATTGTGTATCTGCTGCTTACTTGTATACCAGCCCTGCTTTTACAACACAGCGTGCCAAAGCTTTCAAAAGCTCTCAGTACAAATGAAAGCTTTCGCTGGCCAAGTCTGTTTTACAACCACTTTTTACTCACTTAAATAAATAGCTTATTGCAACTGAAAATAATTTAAATGAGAACTAATTAAAAAATTAAATTTAATTTAATTTCCACTTAAATGAGTTTGGTGAAACTGGGTGTTACTGTTGTCATAAGGTTGCGTTTTATTTTTTGTCCCCAAAACCATTCGAGATCTCAAGACGAAACTTAAACTTTACTGGTTTTTCAATACAAGTTTTAGTAATACATAACTCAACTCCAATGCCACTGGCGGCTTAAAAAATGAATAAAGAAAGTTATAATAATAAGCAAAAAATCAAATTCTCTTTAAGAAAAAGAAAGTGTACGTTATTATAGCGTTTGGATTTCAAAATCTAAAAATAAAATTTATTTATAGTATCTGGTTTCATGCACTTCTCTTAAATTCATTTCTATTTCCTCTTCTATCTTGTCAATGTGTATGTACTGACACGTCCTGCTGCTGCTTCAATACCTACAATGCCGGCCATAAAAATGCACAATGCGCACAGGTGTGCATCGTACAAAAGCGTGATAGTGGCATACTTTATGCGATGAAATATGTCAGTCGCTCGGCGTGTGAGTCGCGCGGTGCACTAGGTGGTGTTATCAAAGAAGTAGAATTGCTTGCAACATTGGAACATCCATTTCTAGTGAATTTGTGGTTTTCGTTTCAAGGTAAGTCTTTTTTTTTTGCGTGTGCGTAAGCTTTTTAAAGTTACTTATTGCCATTTCGAACGTTGGCATCATTGGCACAAAACAGAGTAGTTACGTATATACATATGAATGCACTCAGTTCTTTTTAAGTATCCTCAATACATATGTATATACATACGTACGTGTTTATCTATTGAGATATGCAGCTTATGACTAGCCTTTCGTAAATATACATACCAAGATTAATGAGTGGTTTCCTATTTCAAAAGTATGTATGTATTTCGAAAACTTTCTTTTCCATTTTCGCTGCCGATAACTTCGATCAAAATAGACGAAGAGGATTTATTTATGGTTTGCGATTTACTGACTGGCGGTGATTTAAGGTATCATCTACAGAATCGGGTGAGTCTAAACGGAGTGCAAATAAATATTGAAATATTTGTAGATACGTTGTGCCCGTATTTGCATAAATTTTGCTTTCAATGCACTTTTGCAATTTTGCTTACAATGCAACTTTACACTGCGTACATCAACATCAATTTTTTTCTTCTTCTTTTTTTTTAGGTGGAGTTCAGCGAGAAATGTGTTGCCTTATTAGTGTGTGAGTTGGGAAGTGCTTTAGAATATTTGCAAAAGCAAAGAGTAGTGCACAGGTGAGTAATTTTACTAAAGTTCAATATACATGTATACATATGCATTTATGCTTTATCGCCAGCCAGTTGTTAGATAACAAACAAATTTCTCTCTCTCTCTTTTTTATATCTTCATAACAGGGATATAAAGCCAGACAACATTCTTTTGGATGATGCTGGTAAGTAAAAACAAGAAATTAAAGCAGCAATAAATTGTTCCGTTTTTTGAATCTTTGCGTTGTTCGAATAAAAATGCCTCGCGATATGATTATTGTTCAAACTTTTAAACAAGTACTACTTCCAAAAATTAACAAAATTTATCAGAAATGCAAATGACGAATGCCGAGCCTTCGCCCTTTATTTCGAGGAAAAAAAAAGTAATAATAATAATAATAATAGATTGACGCTTACACATATGTATGTTAGTGTTTGGCCGAGCTTCTCCTCCGATGTGTGGCGTGCCCCTTGATGTTGTCACACAAAGCGGAGGGACCTACAGTTTTACGCCGACTCCGAACAGCGATTGTATCTTTATGAGAAGCAAGAAGAAATACACTCGAAGGTTTGCCATTGCCTGCCGAGGGACGACCGCTGTTAAGAAAAAACTTTTTTTCTATATTTTTTTTTTGCGGCAAAAATGCATACCATTAAGTTAATATTACTACTAATTAAGTTTGTATCCAATTTCTTTTTTATTTCAATGTCTGGTACAGGTTTGCAGAAATGCACTTACCCTAAATGGTTTTGAAAATTTCACACCAAAAACATATTTTTAAACATTTTCTACGATTAAGGAGCGTTTACAATGTTAGCTTCGAATTTAGAGTGCTTTTTTGTGAAATATTCTCTTCTTTTTTATCACCTTAGTGAAATTTTAGTATTTTTTTCTAACCGGGTTTCGAGTTTTTCAAGAAATGGCAGTTTGAAAAAAACGTTCCTATTTTCGAATTAAGAAAAGCTCGGATTTATATATATTTTCTCTTTGGTCATAAATCAGGACTAAAATTACAGTAGAGGAACAGCTTAAATTTAGAAATCAATAAGTACCTACGAAGTATTTTGGATTACAAATAAAACTGAAAAAATTCAGGGTTCTGGCACGGGTTCATCGATCTTAGATAGATATAGAACCGACTGTCTGGGAATGAGAAAACACCGTCCGCTGAACCAGATCGACTATTCAAATAAAGCGTATTATAGACAGGCCTACATCGAGAATCAATCAACACCTTCTGCAACTCTCACCTCTTCAATTCCATTATCGGAGACCAATGCCACCTATCGTAGACTAAAGCTCGGGTTTACAATTCATTCGGGATATTGTGGCAGGTTAAACATTCTTCTCCCTACAGCCAAACCCATCTGATCTGGTATTTTAGTAAGCCTGCCGTTAAATAACAATGAAAACGACATGTAATCCGATTCTCTGATTTGTGGCATTATTTTTTAAGTCAGCCAAGTCATGTCTCTGATTCACTTCAAAAGCACAAGCTAACACGTATTCAAGGAATATCTTTCCCCCTTTTTTCTTCGGAGATATGATCTGTCTTCGATTGTTTCTTTCAAAATGTGTTTGATGTTACACTCAACCCTGTAAAGGGGAATGTTTTTTAACCTTCTTTCCTTGTCTAGCTCGCGCATTTCATAATATTGTCGTTTTAAACAACCATCTGATTTTCAGGGCAACCCTCTCCCCTGACAAAGCATCAAACGGCAGAGAATGTGCCTTTTTTGCCTTACAAGATTTTCTCACCCTCTGTCTCTAATTTAGAATCGAGCACGCAAAGAGAAAGGGTCAATCAAAAGGGGACATTTTTTAGAAGTGGTAGAAACAAAGTCACCATTAATATTTCTACATATGGTCACGATTGTCCTAAAGCTAACGATTTAAAGAAGTACGTACATGATTAGTGAGAATCAAGAAAAAATCCAAACTTTGATAGATCATATTTCATGTATAGAGCCCATACAACAATTTTAAGCTAATCAAATTTGGTGTCCAATTTTAAAAATAAGGCCCCATTTAGGAGTTTAGTAAGCTGCAAAGAAAAAAAACAAGAAAAAAAACAGTGAAAGATTGTCGTTTGGTGTTTCTTGTTTTTTTAATTTACTTTCTGCAATGGAAAATGTTCCAATATTCAAATGTAAAATTAATAAAAGTGTTCTAGTTCCATTTTAAATAAAATAAATATTTAGATTCTGGTATATAAATAAACTTGGTAAAAACCCGGTTTATTCGATTATAAAAGTACGGTTTACTCGTTATTCAAAAAATCAAGGTTTCAAAAAACCGCCTAAAACTATAAAAAAGAAAACGGTTTGGAAACGCAAGTTTATATAAAAATTTCACTGACTTTAATTAAACACAAAGCGGCAAGAATTTGCGTAAACTGAAAGATGTATGAAATTCGTAGTAAAATAAGGCTTAAATTCGTAAATGTTCTAAGTCTTTAGTTTAGGAATCATGACTAGAAGTGAGTTTAAATAATTGGCATTATCTTGTATTATTCCAGCATGGACAACACACAATTTTTTTTCTTTCAGGGTTCTAACGCGAAAATTGGTTATTTTTTTGTTTTTTGTTTCCGGTGCTTTTAGGTAGTTTCTTCTTTGTGAGAGCTAAGTATAATTACATCGCTTAAAAGCGATTGTATCATGTCAGTCGAATGAGAACTGCGGCTTAACCGTTTTATGTACAACTACATATGTATGTATATAAATATGTATGTATACAACTTGCTCCGAATTCTCTTGAGTAAGTTTGTATTGATTATTTCGAACGTGCACTTGCACTAAAAGGAGTTAATTACTCAGTCGGAAAAAGTAATGCGTGACAGTGGAAAAGGTAATAGAAAAATCCACGGCGTATGCAAAAATACAACACATTACGACTCTTCAAAGTACTAGGGAAGCGATGTTATTATCTACATAGGTCTTGTCGAGAAAAACAAGGATCGAAACATGTAATTCTCCAAACAAATTGTGCACTTAAAGCCTGTAACTCAATTGACTATCAACCGATGTTCAGTTTATCCCCAATTTTAAAAAGAAGGAACTTTACAAATACCTTTCGAATGGTGTATATGTCAATTTATAAAAGTTTGCCTAGAAAGCCAAATTTTTTTCGTAATTTATCAATTTTGGCGATATTGAAAACTTTTCATGACAAAAAATAAAATTGTTGGCTATAAAACTCAAAAATGTTTGCTTAATTTTCATGAAAAGTTGAAACTTAGAAAGTAAAGTTTCTTCTTTTTTAAAAGCTCGGTTTTGCAAGACTTACAGCCAGTTTCACCAAATTATTTAAGTGAAAATTACTTTAATTTCGGTTTCACCAATCAATTTTAATTTTGATTTAAGTGACCTATGCTCTGCACTTAAATAAAAGTTAAATCAGAATAACCACACTCAGAGGTGTTACACGTTTAATCACCTGATCATTGTGCATCTGCTGCTTACTTGTATACTAGCCCTGCTTTTACAACACAGCGTGCCAAAGCTTTCAAAAGCTCTCAGTACAAATGAAAGCGAAAGCTAGTCCTAGTCTGTTTTACAACCACTTACTTAAATAAATAGTTTATTGAAACTGAAAATTATTTAAATGAGAATTAAATACAAAATTAAATTAAAGTTAATTTCCACTTAAATAGTTTGGTGAAACTGGCTGTTAGACTTGACTAGACTTGAAAATTGTATATCTGGCATATGGGCAGCAAGTGTATGTAGTTACCCAAAAAACGACTTAACTTAAAACCTTGGAGAACTATGGATTTTTGATTTCTAAGTTAAGTTTCTAAGCGAAAAGAGACCCGCGAGAGAATCATGCTGCCACATCATTTTTTCACATAAATATTTTTAATAAAATTGCTCCAAATAGGCCACACAAATATGAATTTTTATGTAAATTAAATTCATCTGGCAATCGGAAAACAAACTTTCACACAAAGACAGAAGAAAAAAATTAAAACAATCACAATTTTATTCGCTTAAATACATTTATTTAAATTGATAAAAAAAAAGAGAAAAAGCAATAGATGGCATGGAGAGTAATCATTTCTAGGCTTCTAGGTAAGTTAAATCAAAATAGTTAAAAGCATACGCCACTTTTTTTTGTGTGCCGGTGCAATCGACTAACAAAAGTATCGCTATGGTGCTAGAGTGGTGCTTACATTTAGTCTACACGCAACATTAGTAAGGTTCTAGTGCATAGTTATACACACGATAAATAATATAACTTCAAATAAAAACATCAAAAGAAAAATGTCAAAAAGGCGGACATTTAGGAGGACACTTTTATATGGAGGATATGGCTTAAAAAAGGAGGACTGTCCTTCCTAAAGGAGGACGGTTGGTTACCTTAATATACAAGATAATCATTATTTAACGAATTTTATTCTTTAGATCAAAAATAAAATCAAAATAACGATTATTCTTTATCGAAAAAAGTTTCAATAAAGATTTACAGAAATAATGAAAAGAGCGATTATTTTCGATGCGCGTTATTTTCATTTTTTTTATTGGCTAAACATGCATGATTCAATCACAAAAGATCTGGCAAGATTAAACGAAAGAAAAAGGTAATTTTCGGGCTGACGTTTGTAATTTCGGCGCCATTTTATTTTCTTTGAAATTGATCCAAACTAAACAAAGAATATGGAGGCGAAGCATGATGAAAAAACTGAAAGGTGCTCAGAATTTAATTCGAAATAAAGTCGAAGTTTTTAAGAAAATTTGTTGATTTTTTTTTTTATCGCATAAACGATAAATTTTGTTAGCATCTCATAAGAAGATAAAAAAAAATATTTCCCCGTAAAATATGCAGAATTTCTACAAAGCTTCATAGCTGAATTGCTGATTAAAACATTACCAAGGTACCTACAATTTTTTTGGTAACAAAATTTTCCGGTTACAAAATGTGTTTCATACCACATTGCGAGATCTAGTTTTCAATGGCCGCCGTCAGAGTCCGACAGTTTAAAAAGCTTGTTCTCTTATATTTCCTTTCATTTTATTTTAACATAAAAAACTTACTTATCAACAACTTCAAAATACATCCTAAAACTTCTTGCTTCAGGTCACGCACACTTGACTGATTTTAACATAGCGACGAGACTGCAAAAGGACGGACTTGCATGCAGCATGTCTGGCACGAAGCCATATATGGCACCAGAGGTATTCATGTGCGCTTTAGAGGAAGTCGGTAAGTTGAAGCTTAGCCCACTGACTACAAATACTCCAATCCCTCATAAATATATGCATTCGTAGCTGGTTATAGTTACCCAGTCGACTGGTGGTCACTGGGCGTGGTTGCGTACGAAATGCGTGCCAATGTGCGGCCCTTCGTCGTCCATTCGAACACCGGACTAGCGGAGGTGAAGCATACATTGAACGTGCCGGTACACTATCCGCGCTATTGGAGTCATGATTTCATCGATTTGCTAACAAAGGTGAGTCATTCAATTTATGGTATATATAAATATAAGTAAATATGTACATATGTATGTATGCATCTGTTATTCATGCGTCATCTTTTCCATCTGTATCTTATCACAGTTGCTCTGCGTGCATCCGGGCGCACGCATCAGTTCGCAGCAAGAGCTCCAACAGACGCCGCTGCTGCGATATGTAGACTTCAAAGGTATTTTGGAGAAAAAGACAAAACCACCCTTTAAACCACCTGAAGATCATCTCAATTGCGATCCGTGTTTGGAGTTGGAGGAAATGATTGTTGAAACGCGGCCGCTGCATAAGAAAAAGAAACGTCTGGCCAAGCAGCGTTCAGCACAACGTGACAGCGACCCGGAAACGGTGCTCATAAAAGAATTCATTGTCTATAATCGCTATAAGGAATTAAAGCGGAAAGCTATGGAGAAGAAAGAGAACGAATGGCAACGTGAACTGGAACACGCAATGGCGAATTCAATTATGACCAGTTTAGCGCCAATACAGGAGAAGCCAACCTCAATGCATCTCAGTAGTGATGCTGGCGATGACAGCGCAGCAATGGCCACCAATGGCAATGTTGTAGCCAATCCTTTCATAAACAACACGTCATCACTCACAAAAACTAATACAACGGCAACAATAGCAAGCATATCCACAAGCAACACCACCGACGGCGCATTACTGACGAGTGATTCGCTTTGCACTGCAATCGCTTCAATTGAAGAAGCACCTACAGCAACAACAACTATGGGGGCTACTGTTGCGAGTGCTGCAACAGCATTGCCACCGATCTGTGTTAAATGCCGACAACAAACCCGCAGCGCTGTAATGCAAACCACGCAACAACATAAAACACAACAATCATCAGGCACAAAGGATAATGAAAGCTTAGAATTTATTGATCGCACACCTTCGCCACCCGCAGTGCAAGGCGAAGCGCTAACGCCGTTAGCGGCAAGCACTTTGGTGTAGGCGAATGTTGTGATTTGTGGGAATATTGCTAATTAAAAACGGTATAATTAAGAATGACTCGTAACCGTTTAAGTGTACACAGTTTATAAGTATGTATCTATTACCTTGCTTATACCAATGTAAGAACGGCATTTACAATAAACCGATTTGACTCAACACATATTACTTGCAAAAGTTTATAGCACCCTAGCCGATACTGTATTCAAAAATAAACAACATTAGTTGTTCTCTTTAATAATTTATTTGCGCGATTGACCGAAATGTGAACGAACAATAATTCAAATTTATTTTAATAATAATTTAAATTTAAAACGGGCTTTATAAAGAAAACCTGCATTTTTCACTTCGCGTCAAACGAGTGATGTGTTTAAACCTGTTTTCTAACCGATGTGAGTAAAACACCGATTTGAAAACAAAATCGAGTCAATACACTTTTGAATTTCTGAGCGAATGGAAATTTGGTTTATGCTTCCGTTTTGAATATCACAGCGAACTGGGTCAAAACGCTTTATGTGTCGGTATAAACAAGGTATATATAGTATCTACATATGCATACATATATGTAAGTATTCGTATGTAGTTATTTATTTTTCGTATAACAAATGGCGGTTGGCTTTAATCACGTTTAGCTTACGAACCAATTTACGTCAAATCAAAGCTAATAAAATTCTCTATAAACCATATGTTTATACATCACTTTCCGATTGGACTGATAGTTTCTGACAAATTAATTTATTTTTTAATGAAAAAAAAATCAAGCTTTAACAGAAGAAAAATTTAAAAAATAACAGGTTCTGTGCCAAATTTTTGCATCTGTGCTAAAGCCTGTTCTGACGAAAATCGGTTGGTAAATAAGAAATAATGAGTGGTGAAATGAAAATGCGCAAGGAGATTTTATATGAGCAGAAAAGCGTGTTACCCAGTTGAACGTGGCGTATGAGTTACTTTCGTTCCTGCTCATATTTCATACAACAAATATTTGTGCATTTTCATTGATTAAAATTTTAAGTTTCCGTTATATTATTCATCATCATTTAAAATAGTTTTGTTTGTGAACTCACACTTTTTTAACATGATTAAAAAAATATGTTACTCATACGCCATGTTTCCCTTTTTTTTTTTTTTGAGATTTCGCTTTGATTCAAAATATTTTTATAGAAGTGATCCCTATATATTTTTTATCTAAATTTAAAATGCTTCAAAAATCATGTATGAAAATGTCATTTAAAAAGCTTTCTAAACATTTTTTTTATGAATTTAGGCTAAGTATGTAAATATACATATGTATATACATATTGCACAAGTTCTTCAAAAGTGAAGTTTTGAAAGGTAAAATAACGCTAAGGCACTTAAACTTAAAGTTGAGTCGTTGAGTTTCCAAATATGTATTCTATTCTTCTGGATCAGGGGCCTATTTCATAAAGTGACAGTGACAATTTTGTAACGAAAGGCATTTTCCGTAATGTCAGTGACAATTCGACAGTTTGGTGGGTGATTTGTTTCATAAAAACAATTGTCACCACGTCTTAAATTCCATGAGAAATTCCATTGAAAAAGCGACAAATTGTCATTGTCGGGGTTAAAAAATTGTCGTTGATAAAATTGTCGCCACTCATATGAAGTTTATATGTAATTCATATGTAATAATTGCATTTGCATTACTATAGTTTTAAGAAATATTCAAATTATTGAAAAGTAATGAAATTTCTCCTGTGAAAACTTTTGGCGCGACAATTTTATCAGAGTGAGAATTGTCAGCACAATTGTCGACAATATTCTATATTATCACTATCGTTTTCCAAAAATTTTCACAGTTGCCTACAAACGTATATGAAACAGGAAAAATGTCGCCGACAATTCAGGCACAGAAATTTTATAGAAAAATCGACAATTCTCGCACCCGTCACTTTTATGAAATAGGCCCCCTGGTATTTGCCGAAGATATTTTTTTATGAGAAAAATGCAAATATGAAGAAATTAAAAGACAATAGATTTTTTGTAAATTTTAACATTTGTATTAAAGTTTACAGTTGGTAGTTATAAAAAAAGACAGATGGAAAGACACATATCTTCGTCATATTTGGAAAGTTTCGTTATCTGTACAACTGAACATATTTTACTTATCAAGCCTATTAATGGCATATTGAAATTTCCAAGAACGTAAATTTTGAGTTACATCTCTATATTAATAAACGTGCGCAATGTACTACGTATATGAACTACTATACTATGAATATGAGCATACATTAAATGTATAAATAAACAAGTAAGAAAGGCTAAGTTCGGGCGGAGCCGAACATTAAATACCCGGCGCAAGTATTAAATATATGTTTTTTCACCCTTCCGAAACCTTCCGCTAGATGGTAAGCCGAGTTGTAACAATTTTGAGTAAATTAGCGTCCTTCAATTTCGAAATATTGAAGTTTCAAGCATTTCTTAAATTTACCGTTATATGAGAATCGGCCGTTATATTAGTCCGATTTCAATAATTTTCAACGTTTTGCTTACACGTGGCAAGTACAATAACCATACCGAGTTTGGTACAAATTGGTAGAACGGTTACCGGTATACTTATATGTGATCATAAGTGGGCGGTGCCACTCCCATTTTCCAAAATTTTACCATAAACGTATTTCTTGGTAAAGAATTGTTGCAAGCATCAATTTTGAAAAAATTAGCTTCAATATTTAATGATTTATCGAAGATTTTGTATTTCTCTAAATTACCGTTATATGGGATGTGGGCGTGGTTATTGTCCGATTTTATAAAGTTTCGGCGGTTTTTTATGCTGTACCAAGGCCAACAACTGTGCCAAGTTTGGAAGAAATTGGTGTAGCGGTTACCAAGATATACACATGTAACCATAAGTGGGCGTGGCTACGCCCATTTTCCAAAAATTTATAATATTCTTATTTTTCGTCTAAAACTTATTATAAATATCAATTTTGAGTGAATAATCTCCAGTAGTTACTAAAATATTGCAGTTTTCGTATTTCTGAAAATTACCGTTATATGGGAAGTAGGCGTGGTTATTGAGCGATTTTAAAAATTTTCGGCCATTTGGTATGTTATGCGAAGGCCAACAACTGTGCCAAGTTTGGAAGAAATTGGTGCAGCGGTTACCAAGATATACACATGTAACCATAAGTGGGCGTGGCTACGCCCATTTTCCAAAACTTTATAATATTCTTATTTTTCGTCTAAAAATTATTGTAAATATCAATTTTGAGTGAATTATCTTCAGTAGTTACTAAAATATCGCAGTTTTCGTATTTCTGGAAATTACCGTTATATGGGAAGTGGGCGTGGTTAAAGTCCGATTTCGCCCATTTTCAATACCAACCTACCTTGGATTAAGGGAAACCTACATACCAAATTTCGTTGAGATATCTCAATTTTTGCTCGAGTTATCGTGTACACGGACAGACGGACAGACGGACAGACGGACAGACGGACGGACAGACAGACATGGCTTAATCGATTTCTTTTTTCATCCTGATCATTTATGTATACATTTGTCTATATCTATCTCGATTCGTTTTGGCTGTTACAAACAACCGTTATGTGAACAAAATTAATATACCCTTGTGCACAAGTGCGCTCGGGTATAAAAAGTTGTGAATGGTCCAATGATAATGTGTAATGATTTTTTTGATGAAATATGAGCACATCGTACATAGCCGCAGTCGTACATGGCGTATGAGTAACATTTTCCATGTTAAAATTAGAATTTTTCGCATTGGTAATGTAAACTTAAAACTAACTTAACTTGGGAAGAACTACGTGATCTACAAAAACGGTATACAGATCGATAATATACGACCCAAAAATAAGTTTACGTGTCTTTGGCGTTCCTACAGTTTTATAGGCAAGAAACGTTCACAAATCGTATAATTTTTAGCTGCATTTTGCTGCAATTTCATGCAAAAAGCATAGTAAAGACTTCTAAAAGCTTTCCCTTCGTGACTATCATGAGCTTCGAAATAGGTTTTTGCATTTTCGTTTTGAGTTCGGGCAGTTTTGAGTTAATACACTTTTGAAGAATATGTGTGATATACCTATGTATGTATGTATGTACATTAGGGTGGTCCAAAAA